TTTCATGATATAAGCATGTTGAATGAATGATGTATGTATTATGTAATGCTCTTGCACATAGTGCCAGTAAATTAACATGGCTTGAAAGTTAGTGAGTAGCTTCTTTTTAAACACTCTTTGTATAGTTTATATTTTAAACACTAACTAATAATGAGTTCTGCACATATAAGATCTTTGATTGAAATGGTGAATTCATATGTACAACTTCTGGGGGTWTTGTTTGTGAGGGTTTTTCATAAATGAAATGGAAGTGTTTTTTAATTGGSAGAGACAGATTTGCAAAATAGCTTGGCATTCCACATAAACTCCCCTTATGTGGAATCTTGGGCAGCAACGAGGTTCCACTGGATGTGCTTGCTTGTCTAGCCTAACTARAAACTTTAAACTCAATCTCGTGGTGTGTTGTGAATATGAGAATGCTATGAYATATGCAGTTTCGAAGTGGATTAATTTGCGAGAGGAGTTTTAGACAATTTGGAATTGAATTATAATCTAATCTCTTTTTGGGATCAAGAGCAATTAACATGGGATTGGTGAAATTAGTCTTGTAGCTGTAATCCAGTTCCTTATCATCAGAATCCATAAAACATCATCTGGTGTTATCTTTGTACYTGTAATTCTGAGCACATATGTGTTGTTTTTCATGTAGTTGTCGGTTCCCGGATGCACAAGACTTAGTATTGAGGGAATCTTGAATAACTTGAAGGCTTTCAAGTCACGTAAAGGTAGTTCAGGTATCAAACATATAAGAACAAGTGGGTTCTATGGCATAACGCATGAGCACTTGAAAGAGTTGATGAGATCAAATGCATCCTGTCACGATTTACCTACCAAAACAAAGATGTAGGTTTTTTTTATTTGCAGCAATATTATTGACATATAATCAAGCAGGTTGATGCATCTAACTTGCTTATGTGATTCCTATTTCCAATCCATGCATGTTGGCTGTTGTTTATGGTTTCCGTTGATTATGCTTTGGTTATTTTGCTTTTGTGGCATTGTAAGGGTGTTTACCAATCTTGAGTGCAAGGTTTTCTGTCCGGGAATTTTTAGAAGTGGTGYCAGGATTTGACTATAAAAATAAATTTGTTGAAATATTTCATAATATTTGTATATATTGTTGAAAACCATGTTGCCTATAAATACCAGCAGGCCACATTTACATGCATACTTGTTAGGATCATAAACCATGTTGCCTATAAATACCAGCAGGCCACATTTTTATCCATAATCGATATGCCCATTTTTATCCATAATCCATAATCAGTTGTGGTTGATGTAGAAATTTTATATGACATACCAACAATGTAAAAGTCTATGCAACCTGTTTAAAAGGAATACCGGCACTTTGCTTTTGTAGATACTCTGAGAGTTTGTATGCACTATTATCAATTGGAGGACTATACTTTTGATGTCAGGTGCAAATAATTTTGCAGTACTCTAGCTTGCTTTCTCTGGATGTGCAAGGTCAAATGGGGTGCTTAATGCAGGGTATATCGGTTTCCAGACCATGCATCGAGCTTATGATGCTGTATTTCTTCAAAAGAGAGCATTTGTAAGTTTATAGTAATTAATATCAGGTTTGAAATCTCTGCTCGATWTCTACATCTCCTGTACAAATTTATCATCTCCAGGTTTGAAATTTATCATCTTCGGGTTTATCAACTCCAGGTATGAAGATGATGTTGTTTCTATTGCTAATCTCAGTTGTTGGTTCAGATCTGATGGTTGATRATGGCTCAGGGGTTAAAATTGCCCCAGTGGTGAGATGGGTTTCCACAGCTCTTGGTTCAACTGACTTGCTTGGTTTGCCTTCAAGTTTTGCTTCATTCGATTATTTTTTGTTATTGGTTCCGTGTTTTGCTAAACTGTTTTTTTGTCTCACTGGCAAGTTTGMTGCATKGTTGCTTATATGYTGAAAGGGTTTGSTGGATAGAGATTTTTCAACTGATAAATGTGCTGCAACATCATATAAGATGAAGTCATGCTTTTCAAGATGCAGGATCTGATGATGGAGCCTTGGATAGTTARAAACAATATGTATCTACATGTCTTTTAGTCAAAAAGAAGTTGTCWTGTAATGGAAATGCTTGACTTTATGCTATATTATGTTAATAATGGTGTTTTTTATGGATTTCTTTTTCGTTCAAATGTATGATCATTGGAATAAATGAGAGCAAGATAGTCAAGAACAACTTGAGATAAATATATATATATATATATATATATATATATATATTGCTAGAATGATGACATATAGAACCAGCTTTGCATCCTGCTGCATTGTACGGGTAGACAACTAGTATGATCAAAAACAGGTTTTCAATACCAAATCGTACCAAAAACAAATCAAGTTGTCCAATTTTGATGAAGATTGCAAGAACAAAATATGAACATTCAAGAACACGGATCACCAAAAAATTCAAAATTGATTCTTGAAATCAATTCAATTATGAAATTGGATGATTCTAATCAATTCCAAATTGAAATTCAAACACAATACAATCAATCAAACATCAAAATTCAAACAAATTATGAGAATTCAATTCAGACAGTGAATAGAAAGTGTCGATCAAGAAAATGTCCAATTATGATTCAATTTGGTCTGATTCAATCCAATCCAATTCTCTAAGTTGTTGTAATCTGCTCTGATACCAATTGATAGTCCTAGAAGATTAATCAATTACAAAAATATGATTCAAGATCACTAATAGAAAATATAGAATATAGAGAGAGTATAAATTGTAGAGAGAGAAATTTGTTGAAATATGGTTTATATGTTCAATCTTAACTTTTGGTATCTTTTGGATTAATTTGCAAGGATACAAAATTTAAGGATTGTTCGTGTATATAGTTGATTGTTCAAGGGATAAAGGACTGCGCTTCACTTTTCGTATTTCTTCAAGGGTAGCAGAGCTATTGTTTAATTCTCCAGGGTGCATTTCGTAAATTCTTTCGCCTGAGTATAAATACTCTTTTTTCTTCTTTTTAGCTCAGATTTGCTTCTTCTTTTTTTCAAAATCTCTCGATTGTACTTTGTTCTTCAGATTCTTTATCTTAGCTTTATTAGCTAAGATTAGATTTAGGGTTTATCTTTGTAACATTGTTGTTATCATGAATAAATCTTTGGATTGCAAGTTTTATCAAAATCTTCACAGCTTCAAGTGCATTAGATTCTTCAAAGATTACAAATGAAATCTCTTCCCACTAACACACTACCAAGACACCTATATACATACAAGAGAACACACTAAGGCTTAAAGCTTGGATAAAACATATTAAGCACAAAAACTTAATCTTAACAAAACCGCATCGTGAATATTCTAAACCGCGTTTTCCATTGCGATATGGTGTGAGTGGTTTGTGCGGTTTCGTGATTTAGATGAACACCCCTAACAAACCGATATCTACCACACCATTCAATTCCCAACCACCCTACTTACTCATCTACTCCCCCATTGAACGGTTTCATCTATAAAAAGTGGTGGGGGACCATCAAATACCCCACATATTTTGATTGGGTGCTGACACATGGCACGTCCGCAATATTGCGAACGTGGGCCGATTTTGTAAAAAATGTCGTTTAGCCAGGTTCGCAAGTTACGGACCTGGATGTTGCGGATGCAATGACATTTGGATCAACGCGGAAGAGGAATTGCTAGAAAACCAATTTGGATGGATATAATGACTATTTGAGTCAATTTCCCAATTTGCATTCTAATTCTATTTTATTTGCATCAAAATTCAAATATTAAAAGTGGTTAATTAAATAAATAATCACAAAAGAAATATATTAGAACAATAATTTCCCATATCTTAAAATAATTTTCTACATTATTATTTTTAATTTATTTTAAAATAAATGTTTACTTTTAAATCTCCTTATTATAAAGGGTAAAGTTGTTTTTTTAATTTATTAAAAAGTATAATAATTACATATTCATAAAAAATGTATGTTTTTTGTCAACCGTGAACATTTATTTTGAAACAATGGAAATATTTTCAAACAACTTTGACCTATGTAAGTCAAACTTTCTCAAAGGTCACCAGTTCGAGGTTGACGCAAACTGGCCCGACTTCACAGGTTAAAAGAACACAAATAGAAGTTGAAGCGTTCATCCACCGTTGCCGAAAAAGCAGTAGTCAAGAGGGTCGAAACTGAACTATGATCCATTCGTATAAATATTCGATACAATCTATCAATCTACTTCTAAAATCAAACACAACTCTCGACTCCATCCATACTCAAGAAGCATCTCACCATTAATTACTAACATTTTACAATAAACCCAACATCGAACAAAAACCGACGTCGGCGTACAAAGATCGAACTCTGATCCCGACATCCATCATCTCTCCACAGCCATCGTACAAAGATCGAGCATGCTCGCCCCAAATGAATCAGCGCAATCAACAGTTATGTTTGGTTTCTTGGAGGGTAAAAGTGGTCGTGTCTCGTTTTTGTAACGAATCATTATTTAGTGCAATGAGCATCGGTACCTTGTAGCAGACAGTTGGTGTAACCGAGGCCATGAAGGAATTTTCGAATCTCTTTTGAAGTGCTGTTGCTGGCTTGTAAAAGTCTTTCGTCTTCTTCATAGATCAAATACGGAGCTTCACCTTTCTTTCTTGATAGCAACTTTTTCGCACCTTTTAAAACGTGATACTCCCAACCCTGTACATCTATTTTCAGAAGTAACACGGGTTCTTCCTCCGGGATCACTTTATCGAGGGGAATGGATCGTACTTGAAGTTCAATTTCTTCATTCGATTTGAAAGCCAACTTTGCACCAGTGGCTGAAACTGCACTGTTGTCTAACCGTCCGACCAACTGGCAACGAATCCAAAGAACCCATGTTAATAAGGTACGACAGTTTAACATGTTGTTAACCCTTAAGGGTGGTTCAACCTGTAAAACCTCAAGTCCAGTGGTCATCAATTCGAGGGGCCACTGGAGGTTTGACTGGCTGTTAACTTTAGGGCCTTCGGGATTAGTCGAGCCATGTGCAAACTGGCCTAGACGACCACAATTATCCAAAAGTAACATATGGTCGGGGTGGGATATCAAACTAATATCGATCAAGAAAAGTAAGGCGAAGGCCTGTTTTCAACAATTAGAGAAAGAAGACAAAAGAGGGGCTCATCCTAGCAATCAACCCCATGTTAGTATGAGGGTTATTTAAAAGAATAAGCTTCTGACATATCTATACTATATTATAAAACATTTGACAAAAACTCTTAAAAACCATTTTTATGCATGATGTACTACTTATTGATGCATATTACTTAAATTTCATGATTACAAGTAAATTGTACACAAGTACAACTTATTAAATCTTCATGTTTAAATTCGTATAACTAACTGTAGATAAACGTAATCAAATACAAGATAAACTTCTCATTTTAAATATAAAATATAATTAGGATAATCTTTGAGTTCTAACAGAATACGTAATTATTGTCTTTATAAAAAAATTAATTATTAAATCAAAAATAAATTAATTCGTTATTAAACCTAAATTAAATTATAATAAAAAAATGAATTAAAGAAATTACACAAAAAAAACTAGAACTTTTATATATTTTTTTTAAATTTTTATGATATCTTCAAATTTATATTATACTAAAAAAACATTATCGATTTCTCAAAACCACAAAAAATTGTATTATAACATCGACAAAGACAAAGAATAAAACGAAACATTAAAATCAAGATGCACATTGTTGCATTGCACGAGTACCCTTCTAGTTATTTATAAATGTATGACCTTCTGACAGATTTAAGAATGTCTCTACCAACCAGAAAAATGCCGCTTCCTAACAGAATGATGCCTTAAAAATCTATTAGTCATGCATCTAAAAATAGTTGGCTAACAGAAGGATGCCTTAACCACAAGGGTGTGTGCCCGATTGGTTTGAGCTTGGACTCCAAAGGTCAAAAGTGCCTGGAGGTCCCAGGTTCGAATCCAAGAAGGAATGGAAATCCCTTTGTGGCCACGGAGCTTCAAATGCAGTGACTTCAGGCTACCAGCGAAGCAGGTGGTCGCCCAGGGATTATCCAGGTTAATCAAAAAAAAATTGTTGTCAAAAGATTATTCTCCTAAATAACCCATGGGCGTAACAACTCCTCATGGAACAAACTCAACGGCTCTATGTAACCCTGAACTAACTTCCAAAAGGGATCTTTAGAAGATGAATAAAGACAACCTTTAATCTATAAAAAGAGAACTACACAAGTCATAATGACGTTTAAGGCTATGTTTGGCAAACAATCTGATGGCTGAAACTAGCTAAATGACTAGTCATGTTTAGTAAGAAAAAACAAGTTGATAAGCAAGATAACAAAGTCGATGACCTAAAAGAACATGTTGAAAAATTGATTGAAGAAATTAAAAAGACATTCGGGAAAAACGTAGCGAAAACCTCTAGAGCTTATTGAAATGCTACTTGAAATATTTTCTGGAAAAGCTAGCTTAATGAGTACCTAACAGGACTTTCTTAATAACCTCAAAGAATAGGCTAGTTTATGGTTGCCATACATGGCCTAATCCTTTCTACATGCATATGAATATGATCTCTCTAAACTAGACTTCATGTCTTTCACTTGGAATCAATTTTCTTGCCAAAAACGAAACGCAAGATCTAACTCCCTTCGCTTTCGGTGAACGGTCCATACCTCATTAGCTCATCGAAAGTCAAAAGTGGAATTTTACATGAAAGTGGTGATAATTACGAAGATGCAGCTGCAAATACAGATTACAGCCATGTTCATTATTGTAAGAACATCAAACGTCTACTGATAGATACCTCTAATCAACCTTAAAGAACAGTAAAGAGGAAGCCATTAAAGATCACTGAGTTTTGTTAAGAATCACACATACCCATGAGGGATCATAGATGCATTTTAGTTACTGTGATCAGATTAGCGATGTTTGGATTTAGAGTAAAGATTCATATAAACAAGAAAACGTGATCAACATAGATGAAGTGAATCATCAAGAAACAAAATACCTTGTGGAATGTAATGTTTCCAACCCGATCAGAAGTAGCAGCTTCAAAAACGGTAACCAAATCGCCAACCCGATTGAAATAAATCCCATTACAGATACTCTGTAGATTCTCAAGAACCGGTTCAAATGCAAAAACCCGAAACCCCATCACAGCAGCGGCGAATGTAGCCATCCCTACATTTGCTCCGACGTCAACGAAAATCCCCGTTTTACCCTCACCCTTCATCTTCTCCAGCAGCTCCTGAACCGTTGCAGAGATGTCGGGTCTCCGGAATAACTTCCCCTTCAGGATCCGAACAATGTTCTTGTGGGGCTTATCAGGAAGTGTTCCGAAATCCGATAGAGAGTAGAGAAATGGGTGCTTGACACCTTCGACGAGGTTTGCGATGATTGGATGGGATTGAGGTGATTTGTAACAATCAAATGGTTGAATTAACGAGTTGGGGAGATTTATTAGGGTTTTAAAATTAGGGTTAGGGTTTGATGAGGTGGTGGTGTTGGAGGAGAGGTAGAAGAAGGTGAGGAGGAGGAGAGAGGTGGAGAAAAGGAGGAAGAGGGTTTTTGGGGTGGCGATTTTAATGGATCGATCTTTCTTCCAAGCATTTGCCATGGAAGTTGAATGTTGAATTTCAAGAACTCAATGGGGAAGATGGAAAGATTGGATCTTGAGACTTGAGAGGAGAGTGAAGTTGAGATGTATGTAAGCTACCGTGGAAAGTACAACAACTTATGCCAAAAGTATAATTCAGACATGAACGCTACAACCATAGACATTGTCCCACAAAGATAACTCACCTTCCTTGTGTTTGAGATTGATTATTTAATTTAAATTGTTTATTAACTAATGTGGTATTAAATTGGAGTGTTATAAAAAGTATTTGAATTAGCTTATAACGGTATTAAAAAGTAATAAGTTGATAAGTTGTTTTTTAGTGTATGGCAAATTTTACTTATATATGTAAAATGACAAAAAAAAACAATCTTTTATATTATTGACTTATGGGAGTGTTTGAGATTGCTTATTAACTTATTTGATTTTTTAATATATAAATTTTTTTTTCATCATTTATAATAATATATTTGACAAAAATTTATATCAATAAGATTAATAATTAATAAACATTAATAAAACAAGGTTAAAATGGTAAACTTGTAATAAGCAGTTTTTCATAAATCATGAAGTATTAACTTGTCAAAAACTGTTTATTACCGGTTTGACACCGGTATAAGCAGTTTTATTTTTCTTCATCCAAACACTAGCATTTAGCTTAACACCGGTGTCAGACTGAAATAAACCAAAAAAAAAATCTAAAATAAACAATCTCAAACAACCCCTTAAATGAAAATAAATTGACTTATAAACTAGCTTATTAAAAAGTTAATTGAGATTAATCTATGAGGAGTGTTTCTTTGTCACTTTCTCATATTATACTCTTATTTATATTATATTATAAATCATTTGACAAATACTTTTAAAAACCATTTTTTATGTATGAAGTATTTGTTATTGATGCATATTACTTAAAATTCAAGTTTATAAGTAATTGTACATAATTACAATTTATTAAACATCTATATTTAAATTCGTGTAACTAACTGTGGATAAACATAATCAAATAGAGGATAAATATTTTATTTTAAAATATAATTAAAATAATTATTGAGTTCTAACAGAATATTTAATTATTATCTTTATAAAAAAAATTATTAAACCTAAATTAATTTACTTCGTTACGTTAAATTAAATTATAATAAAAATTTTGAATTAGAAAAATACGCAAACAAGAACTTTTAAATAGTTAATTTGATACTAATATTGATATATCTTTTACAAAATTGATATGATATTTTTAAATTTATATTTTATTCAAAATAAAAAAAACATTATCGGTTTCTCAAAACCACATAAAATCGAATTATATCGACATGAATAAAAAATAAAACGAAACACTGAATGGAAATGTGTCTCGTATCCTTCTAGTTGATATTAATTATCATTAATTTATATTATTTTTAATTTATTAATTTATTTTATGTTTTTTAAATTTATTAATTAATTTTAACTATTAATTAATATTAATTTCAAATTATTAATTAATTTCTATTATTAATTATTAGTTCTAAATGATTAGTTAATTTTAATTATTAATTAATATTAATTTCAAATTATTAATTAATTTTAATTTTAAATTATTCATTTCGATTAATTACTGATTATTTAGAATTATTATTAGTTAAGATATGTAAATTTGATAAACTTTGTTTTTATTTATATTATATATAATGGTTATTTAAAATCATCATTTAATATAGATATTTTTATAATTTGTATTTGGTTATTAATTTTTAAACATGTTCTATTTGATCATTTTGCATTTATCAACTAGTTTCTACCAAACATATTTACTTCATCAGTTAGTTATCAACTATCAACTAGCTTATAAGTTATCGACTAGTTTATCAGCTAGTTCGCCATACATAGCCTTGGAGGGCTAAAATCAGGAATACAATTATACAAATCACATAATTCCTCGCATGGGTCGTATGTGAAAGATAGATGGGTAATTTCATTGCTTTTACAAAAAGACGACAAACAGGTTCAAATTTGAATCTGTGTGTTTCACGTATGAACTACATGTGAATCACACGGATTCGTATGTGAATCAATTAAGTAGTTCATATGTGAATCAGTTAACTAGTTCATGTAAATCACAAGGGTCCATATGTGAATCAGCTAATTACTTCATATGTGAATCAGTTAAAATCGTTCATATGTGAATCATGCGGGTTCACATATGAACCCCTTTGCCAACTATTTTGTAAAAATTATGAAACTAACCCTCTATTTTTCGCATAGCCGCAAATTTTGACTCGTCAAAGCTGCAAATTTTGACCAATCAAAGCCACAATTCTTGACTAATCAAATCCAATATTGATCCTATGAAGGGCTATGATCACTTCTTTATTTCTCAAATATTTATCACTTCTCAAAAATAACCTATGACTCTAATCTAATAAGTTTATCACTCTAATCTAACAACCTTAATTAATGTCCTGTTTTTAATGAAAGAAGGACATGATGATAACTTTTTCTTTTCTTGATTATTTTCGCTTTCTCTTTATAGATATCAAAATTTAGAATCAATTACTATTTTGTTTTATTAATTCAATCTTATGCGATGTTATTTATATGTAACAATAAATTATTTTTAATTTTCATTAATTGATAAATATCTTTTATATTTAATTAGTTTATTGTACTATTAATTTAATTTTCACTCGTTTACTTTCTCACATATACATTATTTAATGATAACATATAGAAAAAGATACATTTTTTATAAAATATATTTGACTATTTTAAATAATAAAAACATCACATGGGAAAACAAAATATAGTAAATATAAAGAATTTGTCTCTAAAAATCACCTAGAAACACCTAAGTTTTATTTCACGTAATAAAATAATTCAAGCGAGTGAACGAAAGACGTGGCAAGAGAGAGTTCGACTCGCGAACGATCAGCAAGTGAAGGACCGATCCTTTTGTTTTGCGCCACCAATACTGTTGCGAGACTGGTACTTGGCGGCTCACTAGCAATATATAGACCAAGGTCGCTAAAGTGAAACTAATTTAGTGTTGTTCGACAATGTGAAAGCAAAATAAAGTTGATGTGAAATGTGATGTGAAAGTGAAACACTAAAATGTTTTTTCATATTATGAAACAACATAATGTCACCAATGTGAAACAATAAATTGTTGTTTCACAAGGTGAAATAATGTAGTGTTGTTTCAAAATTTGAAAACAAAATAAAACAAAAGTTGACGTGAAATGTGATGTGATACACTAAAGTGTTGTTTCATAGTGTGAAAGAACACAATGTTGCTAATGTGAAGCGGTATAGTGCTGCTTCACATGGTGAAATGACGTAATGTTGCTTCACATTGTAGTGCTCTTCACATGGTGAAACAATGAAGTGCTGCTTCACATGGTGAAATGTTTCACATCGTGAAACAATATAGTGTTGTTTCACAATATGAAAAACTGTTTCACAATGTGAAAAGAAATAAAAAATGACGTGAAATATGATGTGGAATACTAAAGTATTGTTTTACAAGATGAAAAATATACGAGTTAAGTCAATTTTATTGTTTCATGTAAAAATTATAGTTACTAAAAAGATGTAAAAAAAACATATCAATACTTGTGTCTTATTAAATGAAAATAAGATGCTTGTTTTATATATATATATATATATATATATATATATATAGATTTAAAATTATATTGTAATTAATATAATTTTGATTTAAAAAAGATGGTATTTGATTTAATTTAAATTATATAATTTCAATAAGAGATAAAAAGGAAGAGATTTACTTTTATGCCCTTTTAAGAGTAATGTTTGTATGTGAATGACCCTATATATGCAAAATGTTACCTCCGAACCCTCACCATTGATTAATCTTGATCATGATTGAGATTAGTTCTGACAGTTCTCAACCTTTTTGTAGTTTTCATTTGATTTGTCCTCTATATATAGTAATATATATATATATATATATATATATATATATTACTTCTTTTTTTTGGAAGGGTGTTCCAAACTATATCTTGATTAATTCCAACAAATTAATTGTGACTACAATTATGATAAACTTAATTGCCACAATTATTGAGTACGCCTAGAATTGAACCCTGGACAGATAGAATATATTCACCACATCCCCTAGGACCTCAATCATTACGTCATAACCTTATGATTATTTTAACAGTTAAGAAGATAATTTATTAGGTCGTCTTATTTTTGTTTTAACAACTTTTTATAGCGCCTCTATATCAAACGTATAATTATTAACCCTAAAAACTTAAAAGTCTTGTTAAATACTCTATTCAAAATCCTTTTTAATTCTACCATACCATTTTTCACAATGTTGGTATATACTTTGGTGGTGGATATATCATGTGATAAAGTATCACCAAAGAAAAATTGGTTTGAAAGTGAGAAAATTAACGAAAAAGTATCAACATTTTTTATCAACACACTTATGATAATTTATTGCATAATCTACCAAGTCAAATAGCCGCTAATCTTATGGATCTCATGTTAATAAACCTCGTTTAAATTGCGACATGTTCATTTGTTTGATATGTTTTTCATACTTATTTTGCTGAATAAAAATAGAAAACTGTTAAAATACTAAATAACTACTGTATCAAGTTATTTATGTGGACATAAAACAAAAAACAAAAAACAAAAAACAAACAGCATATGGTTTGATGTTACTGGTCTCAAACACTTTGTAAGGATGTGAGACAAAACCAAAACTATCATTTACAATTACCCTTTAGTTAATGCGTTAAATTACGTAAGAATCAGATATATATGACGTGACACTAACATTTAACATTAAATATTTAGTGGAACTTTGCCATAACATTGGCAATAGATAATGGCCTTTTGGTACAAGTTAATCAAATACTATGTTTACATTATGGTTTTATTATCTTCTTCTTATATCCTACCAAAATTACTCATCTATTTAATACCCTTTAACTTAACCATTTTGCTCCATCTTTCTACCATATTTATCGGTATGATCTCCTTGTTCGTTAGCGCTCTCTCTCTCTCTCTCTCTCTCTCTCTCTCTACATACATAACATTATGTACATAGACATGTATATATGTGTGTGTGTTTCTGTTGTGTTAATGAAGCTTAATGGTGATTTACAGGATATGTTTCCATTGATGTTAATTCTTGGTTTGGTTGCTAGTACCATTGCTTGGCCGATCGACAATTTCGATGTCTTTGATTACGGAGCTACTGGTTTTGGAGAAGTTGATGATTCTCAAGTATGGTTTATGGTCAAATGTTTGGAGTTGTTGACTTTCAAAATCTTTTTATTTGACTTTGTATGGTAAATAAAGCATTGGTTTCTAGAAAATGCAAACAAAATTACTACATTTTACAAGAATAAGTGATTTTAACCAAAAATGACCGTCTTTTTGTAAACAATTTGTTGAACACTAGTCGTTTTGGCAATTAGTACGTGTTCGTTGCAGTATTTTTGCAAGAACGACGGTCAGTTTATAGCAAAAAAACAAATAATAAGTTCATTTGATTTTAGGATGATTAACTTTCTAAACAACGTTAACGTGGTCAATTTTAGCCCCATTTTTACAAAAAAATGTACAAAAACCATAATCCACAAGAATAAATGTTTTAAAAAAAAGGTTTGTGATACTCACCAAACTGTTTCTATGTTACTGGTCCCACAACTATCATGAAAGAAGTAATTGATTACAACGTCTTGTAGGTGGGCCCAGATCGAAAATTCGATGAAAAAGTGATTTTTTTTATTAACCTCGATATCACGAGCCAACTAATCCCAGAGCGACCACTTGCTTTGCAGATAGCCTAGAGTCACCGCATTTGAACCTCCATAGCCACAAGAGAATTTTTATTCCTCCTTGGATTTGAACCTGAGATCTCCTAGTACTTTTGACATTTGAAGTCAAGCTCAAACCAATCAGACACCACCCTTGTGGTTGAAAAAATGATTTTTTTTCATTTAATAAAACAGGATGTGGTGTTTTTTCAGGCATTTGTGAATGCATGGAGAGATGCATGTAATGCAGAAACAGAAGGTGAAGCAGGTGTGATTGTTCCTGAAGTGGGGACTTTCTTGTTGAATCCCATCATGTTTTATGGACCATGCAACCCTCAAATCATTCATTTCATGGTAAGCAAACCATTTTCTTTATCTTTTTAATTATTTTACAATTTAAGAAAATACCATTTCAAATATTTAATAATTTATTTCCAACTTTGCTTTAATTACTTACTATAACACGTTCATATAACGCATGTAGTTGCTGGTCCTGCAAATTTAACGGTCATATTAAGTATTGTATTATGATGGTTATGATCAATATTGTAATATGTCAATTTTGTTGCGATCGAGGATAAATTGAAAATTTGATGTTTGTTTAATAATAAGATTAAAAATGTGTTTTAACTAGGTATGGGAATGAGACACGCCAATTGGGGAACCTGTTGTACCTGTCCCTCCAGGATGGAGGATTCCCACAAAACATGGGATTGGACAGGGATCCCTGAAAGTTAAAAAACGGGGAAGAGGCCAAGTAACGTGATCGTTGACCCACCTCATCCATGTATATTAGATATATTGTATATTTATTGTTGGCGGGGCTTAATCATTTGAGAACCTTAAAATTTGTAAGGTCCGTAAGAATTTCTATTTTAATGTTTTGTTTCACATGATTATTTTCGTCTAAGGATGGTATGTAATGCATTAGTTAGCATATATTTATTTCATAATGTGTTTATATCATATATATATTCGATTCACAATGTGAAACTTTTTTACATTTATTTTTGTTTCACAAACATACCAAAAGTGTACACATTGTGAAACAATTATATGTTAATCAATATTTTAAATCTTAGTCTTAGATGGGAAAAAAAATCATATGAAATAACACATGATGCACAAGTTCTCAAAGTTATCACAATTTGATGGGTTCTCAAAAATAGGTCCCCTTATTGTTGGATATATTATTTATAAAAAAAATAAATTTAGATTTTTTAGATTTAGAAAAGAGTTCTTTGATATTTTTTTTTCTTATAAACATTTTCTTTGGCTTGTATTACTACTCTTTTAGACAAAAAAAAAACATAGAGAACCAAAAAACATTAACAATTACATAATATGTTCTGATTTTGTTTACATATGAATATTTGATACTCCATAGAATTTCATATTAAGGACGCAGATGTAATCATATTCCCTTTGGGGACGGGGACGTAATTAGAGATTTTGGGGGGGGGGGGGGTGGACCAGGATTAGGGTCTCATACCCCGCCCCGTCTTGTTCATGTCTAGCAGTACTTTTATCTATTTAATTATAATAACAAATCAAAAACTGTATTTCAATTTGTGTTTTTTTATAAATCAATATCAGAATCAAATTTGCTACATATGACAACCATTTATCGGATTTTATAAACTGCTTTTGCTTTTCTAACAACACAACATTTGTCAGACCACATTTTTTATATGCTTCCGAAAAAATGTATTCAAAAACTTTGTTAATCGAGGTATAAATGTGGATTTGAAATAAATAATTTCAAAAGTCTTTGAACAGCTTTTCGTATACATAACTTCATTTCCCAGATTTTAGGTACAATTATCGCTCCTAGTTCACCTACATCATGGGACGGTCTCGATTCAAGCCAATGGATAGCATTTAAAGACGTTACAGGTCTTAACGTGTATGGATCGGGCCTTATAAACGGGCAGGGCATGCTTTGGTGGGACCAATCATGTCGATATCATCCAAACAAGGTACGTCAAATAAACCCCAAATCAAATGTTGCTTATCGAAAACTGCAAGTCCGAAAGTTTCCCGAGCCCGAATGACATGGATGTTTTCATGCTTCTAGGACGGTTGCACCAAACTCGCACCAACTGTAAGTATAGGTGTTTTTATAATACGTAGACTTAGATCACCTGAGAACAATTATGTTTGGGGAGAACTATGAGAATATCTCTTATTCTTTGGATGAGCTTTTTTATATTATGGTTCATAACAACACGGTGGCATTTTTGTAAATAAATGGAACTCCAATGAATGTACCTTCACCTTCACCTTCACCTCCATCTTCATCTATTTTCACATACTTTCAACCATTGATTTAAAAGAGATCAATGACTCCGACGTGTTGTCACCATTCTCACCGAAACCAACCCTGTGAATATATAACAAAAAGGGCCAATATTGTTGCAGGTACTCAATTTCTTATCATGCAATGAAGGCACATTGAGCAACATTCACATTGTCAATAGCCCACAAACTCATGTGCTAATAATTGATTCCAAAGGGTTTAATGTGGATAATGTGATGATCCAATCTCCCCAAAATACCCCCAATACTGATGGTATTCACATCCACTCTTCTCACTTTGTCAAAATCACCAACTCCATAATCGGCTCAGGTTCGCAACCAAACAAACTCACTATATTTCATCTGAATATAGGCTCCAAGGGTAAATAGGCCTTACCTCTGTTTCAAGAAACAGAAATGTTGTTCCTGAAAAGATTGCAGCCATTATAGCAATCAAAACAACCATGACATATAATTTTAATATGTCCAGGACAAATGAATTGACAAGTTTGCCCCTGCTACCAACAGGTGATGACTGCATTTCAATAGGAGACTTTACATCCAACATTGATATAGCCAATATAAAATGTGGACCTGGGCATGGTATAAGGTGTGCAATCCCCTCCCCCACCCTACCACCAAGGGTAAAAAAGGCAAGCAAAATATTCATAAAATTCCATTTTCTGTGGTTTGTTAACAGCATTGGGAGCTTAGGGAAGGATGGAGAAATGGTGCAAGTCGAGAACATACACATAAGTGATTCGTCGTTCAAACAAACCACAAATGGAGCTCGAATCAAGACTTGGCAGGTCGGACAAGGGAACGTTCGACATGTTATTTTCGAGAATCTCGTATTTGATGATGTTGAGAACCCGATAATTATCGACCAATACTACTGTGCTGTTCGTGGCATGTGCAAAGAAGAGGTAATAACCATTTGGGTTCTTGCATAAATGTATATGATTACCAAAATTATGCTGAAAAATTCCGGCTTTTTTGTTCAATCAAGAAAACTGGCGTCAAAATAAGCGATGTGGTTTACAAGAATCTTTACGGAACATCTTCTAGCAAGATTGCTATCAATTTAAACTGTAGCAGATACGTACCTTGCTCTGGGATTTCAATGAAAAATATAAACTTGGTGTCGACTCAGCCTGGGAACCCAGTGACATCTAGCTGCACAAATGCCGTTGGAACGGAAGTTGGAGTGAATCCAGCCTGTCTCAGGAACTAGATCTCATCCAAATCGCAATCACGAGGGTTCATCATGAGATTATTGCATATTCTGAACTAATATCTATATAAATTTGAGATCTTTATAGTAATATATTCCAAGAAAAACCTTATCTTGGACAGCATACATCAGTAATGAAATACTATTGCTTGTTGCTTACAAGTTACACATTATCAACCATTTTCTCCGTTTCTTGATTCCCACCGTGGATCTCATTTCCAGAGAACCATGAAACGAAACTAGAAATGGAGGAAAATGGGATAATCGACTTCAGGAAGACGGGCATACTGAAATTATCAGATACAATGCTTCGCATGGAAATCTTTGTCAGATAGCATACCACCGATGAGGGTCTTGATCCTCTCGGCCCCAGGGCCTGGTTTCAGTTGAGTTGCATTCTTGACTATACTCTCGGCAATAGTTTTATTTGTATCACTTCTATCAAACCAATTGCCTGCATATTCACAGAAAGAATGAATAAACAGAACTTATATATTACTAAGATGGTACAATTTGATATGAATTCTTCGATTTCAAGAAATCTTTTATTTTGTAGATTAAACATTGTAACAATTACTCCGAGCATAATATATTGGTGTCAAAATTGTAACCAAATTCATAGAATATTATGAATTTAAGTAGTTAGGTTGACCTCTGAAAGTTAAATTGTACTACAATAAGTCGAACACACGGGCAACAAAATAATAATTATAATAAAGAAAATAGTTCAGAGGATGGAATTACTTGTCACAAACCCATCGGGTTCACGTCCTAGAAGTTGCAAGTCAATTTTGTCGAGTAATTCCTTGTCTTCACCAAATTTTCTGGCGAATGGTGCATGGCTTTCTACCATTCTTTCGTAATCATCAATGGAAAGAAAATGTGGGTGTTGTTTTGGAGGATTATCCCAAGAAATGAAATGAAGGTCGTGATTTACAGTCGTATTTTTAAACTCTTCGGCATTGCAGATTACTGTGTGAAAATACCCTTCTGGAGATGAAAGAAAGTTGGCATAGTACATGAGGACGATTCTTGGAAGGTTATCCCAACCCCATAAACAATATTCTATGAAGGGCCGGGAAAGCATCATCCAAGCAGAACCTGCAAAGATCATGGGTATTTTTAGAATTATATTAGTTTCAGTTTAAAGCAGAGAGTATAACTAGAACTCCATCACTACTACTGTAAACTTGTGTTACACCTATTGACCATCCACGAATTCGATAATGAGTACAATAAAGTATAACAATTTTCTGGTATTAACTACTCTCTTAAAGCTGTGAGAAAAATTATGGCATTCTTGTGTGGACTTAGAAGTTGGAACAACTACAAAAATAAGCAAATGCAAACTCATATTCATAATAGCAAGGGGATTAGAAAGTTCATTTATTGCCCCTTGGTTGGGGGTCTCCACTGAAACAGCCGCTCTACTCTGAAGGTCAATTTATGTACATCCCACCTCTAAGTGGAAGATACCAGAGGCTAGTGTGGTTTGGTTTTTTAGTTTATGGCCGGTTATGGCATTAATTTTTAGCAGTTATCACTCGAATCCTAGTTTTACAATGAGAAAAAGTGTTGTTACGGTTTTGGGAAATTATGGTTTGACTAACACCCCCCC